AACTAAACAATAATCATAATAAGCAAAAAACCAACTAATACTCAAAACTTTTGCTTTTGAATTTCAGTTTTTTTTGCGCTCGAAAATAATTATACCAAGTCGTTTGCGTCTTTATCCAAATTATGACTTACTATTGATAAAAAGTATTTTGCGAGTCATTATTCATAATAAAGAAACATTGTAATCAAATCGATATAGTTAATATTTCTACTGGGTAAGAAATGATAATTATAGTTCAAGTAAGTCTATAACAATCTCTATAAAGAATAAGTTTTCACCCGCTTGCTATTTCGAGCAATAACCAAAAATATAAACTACTCAAAAGTCTTTTTCAGTGATGCTAAATTATTTAGTATTTTTAAAACTAAAGAGAAAATGAGAATAATGTTTTTATTCTTTGCGTTGGAAATTTGCAAGGCAAAAAAAAAAATATTTTATCAATAGTATTTTTAATGCGAAAAAGAATACAATGAATACTAACATTTTCCAAACTTCTCATTTGGAAAATATAAGCAATAGTATCCGTATTCTTGCCGATGTCAGAGCTAAACCTGAGGATAAAGCTATGGCGAATAGCTTGTTAGAAAGCATGCCCCCCAAGGAAATGCTCAACAGTTGTGTCCAATTATTTGTGCATTGTTTCGAAACGAATAATTTTCAGGAAATGTTTATCTTTGCTCTAATTAGATATATCATTCAGGGTATATCTCATCAAGAGAATAAAGATAACACAAAGATTCTTAGTGATCTCCTAGAATTCCGTATTTTAAATAATATGGCTGTTATGACTTATTTCCTGCACTCTCCGCTCGTGCGCTCTAAGCTTCAGCAGCTTATCGCTATTATTATATCTCAATCTAAAACCAATCTGAGTTTTTGCATTAAAAAAATGATAACTTCGTTCTTAGAACAAGTCAACACTGCCCGAGATCCTTCTGTTGCTGAATTTTCTATAGGGGTTTTGCTAGAACTATGCGACCGCCTAGCTTCTTCTCCAGATTCATTAATTAAGCCTACTTATTCAGACCCCAAACTTTCAGGTACACAGAAAGGTTATTTAACTAAAGAAATCATTTCGTTCACCATATTAGTTTTACAAAATCTCGACTCATTTCTGCAAACTAACAGTCAAATAGTTTTCGAACAAATTCCTGAACTATTTACTAAATTCATAACTATTTTGTGCTTAACGCGAAACTCAAACGTTTTAGCAACAAATCCAGATAGTTTCCAGTTTAAAATTTTCTCTGATTTACGTTTCTACTCAGAGAATAATTGTTTGTCCACCTGTTCTAACTTGTTGTTAGTTATCGAAACTTTATGTTCCATTCGCTCACGCAAACAAAACAACATTAGTTACGAATACCATTATATTTCAAAATCAAAACTAATTTTTAGTGAAATTTTAGTCATTCTAACAAACATTGTTAAATATTTATTACAAAATTCAAGCTTGCTCTTAGTAGACCGATTTGAATGTCTAAACAAAATATTTTCCGCTTTCTACGTGATTATTTCTTCTACTAATCATGACTATTGGGTAAACATTCTGAATGATCTTCTGTACGTGTTGATGATAGAAATGAACATTCCATACATAGAATTTACTCGACTAGCTTTAGAAACACTAAATAAAATTGTCACTCAAATTAACAACACTAAGTATCTTTCTTTTAAAACTCTTATGCAACAACCCAATATGTCTGGATTGTTAACCTGTATCTTAGCTAGGGTGGTTAACCCTGCTGAGCACTCATTTCCTAGTTTAGATCAATACTTTTTCCAACTGAGCCAGACAATTTTCAACGGAGCAGGCGTTCAAACTAACTTAATCAATACATCTCATTCGTGGTCAGATAATGTGGAAGAAGCAATAAATTTAATGAATACAGATAAACCTATTCTTTACGTTTTGAAGCAAACCTACAATTTAATTAACGTTGAAATAGCTACTTTCTTATCAAACATGATGAAATATGGTACTCCAGAAAACGTTCAAAAACTCAAAGAACACATCGGCGTCTTTATTCAAAAGATTGTGAGTCTTTTCTCGTTTAACGACAAATATATTGAAACTAATTATCCCTTGATAAATTGCCCAGTGGCACTTCTTTTCGGTTACTGCAACAGCCTTACGTCAATTTTAACTCGCGGTATGTATATACAATCTAATGCTCCTAAAAACATAGAAACAGCTTTTGTATCTCTTATTTTAGATATAACAGCGAGTTTGATTTCTCGAAACTTTACTAAACTTGATGTTGCTACTCAAAATCTCCAATTCCAGTGGAATACAGTATTACTTGATCTTGATCAACGCACAATATCACTTGAATTAAAAAGAATTGAAACGTTCAAACTAATAGTTCGTTTTGTTAATTTGTCTTCCCAATATGAATTTTCTGAGCAAATGAGAAAAACATTAGCCAAATTATGTTCAATTAGACTTTTCGTTAAACTAGAGCCTTCCACGAAAAGCTACATGGACAGTTATTACATCTTGTGCCGCAAATATTCTGAACTGATTAAAGATATGTATATCATCAAACGCGACTATACACTTGAAGAAAGTAAGAACGCGAATATTAAAATCCAGACGAATAAAGCTCAAGAAGAAGCAAATATGTTAATTCAAGCTTTCATGGTAAATATTCAACCGAACTGTCCTCGATATGAAATATATATCGATATAATTGTGAGTATAATTATATCATTTGGCTCATACGATATCATCAGAAATACAATCAATAAATATATGTCTGAAATGATCAAAAAAAGCATTTCCTCAATGGAAAGTCAAGTTTACAATCATCAGACTATGACTAACTACTTGCTTACGTATCGTTGTTCTATGGGATCCTCAAATCCTTCTTTTATCAATTTGATAAACTGTTTGGAAAACATGTGTAGTTATGTTGTCATTCCTTCCAACTTAATGGTTGCAGCTGAGTATGGCTTTGTCAAGCAACTGAAGATGCATTTTAGCAAGTGCGACTTTGAGGTACAACATCCACTTACTGATTTCCTTACTTTGTATACTCCGTTATTGCTGAAAACTTTATTCACATTTTTCGAAACTGCCTTTCAAGCTCCCAAAGACAGCAAACTCTACAATGTGGTAATGTTTATAGGAGACGATGTTCTTCGTAATAGTGCCAGCAAAATGAAACTTATCGATGTAGAAGATATTATGAAAGTTATATATCAATCAGATCAGTATTCTTATGTTTTAAAAGACAACTCGTTAATTAAATTAAACAAATTGTTTAGAACTGATTTGCAAAAACTTCTTTCAGCTGTTAGTTCGTTTGTTTCGCTATCGATCAGTTTACAGCTACTAAATTTAGACCACATTAAATCTCTTTGCCAGATTTTAGCGTCTGTTTTGAATTTACCCGGTTGTCCACTATATGCTAGAGAGCTCATTATTAAATACATTATTGAAAAAGGGCTCCTTCATCATTTAGAATTTCAAAAACACCGCCACTTCAGGGATTATGACGCACTACGTAAGAACTATTCGGAGAATTCTCGGTCTACAATATATATACCGACTAGTTCCAATGTAGAATACGGCTACAATGTCGTTCAAATCGTTTCTTCACTTTGTCTCCCATCAATTATTGAAAGTATATTCTATAACTCTGTAGAGCATTTGCAAGGCTATTCGTACAAGGTATCTTCTGAAGACGCCTCTAATCTTCTTTCCGCCACATTGGAAAACATGCTAAATTCATACATTTCTTCTTACTTTCAATGTATACAAAAAATAATCAACCCTCCGATACAAGCTGTTCAGCTCAAGAACGATTTATCTATGGCCAGACTACAAACTACTGAAAATTGCTATTTAGCTTATTACAATTTAATACAGCATAAAATATTTACGCCAGGCTCTAAATTACCATATTGTCTTTTAACTCTAGCACTTAACATATCTAGAATTCCTTTGACAGGCTACTTCAACCAATTCTCAACATTATTTAAGAATTACTTCAGAGTAATTACTCGCAGAGTATTGCCTGGAATTAATACTTATAATGAAGTGCTTTTCAATGAATTTCTTGAAGAGCTATATCAGCTATTTGAAAGTTTCATGAAAATATGTCTTTTCAAACATAATTTACTGCTAGATGTTAATGCTTATAACCAGCACAGAATGGATTTGACTATTGCAGGACCTCGAGATGTATACGGTTTAATATCACGAAATAATAATGAGAAGGTAATTTATAAGTGCATTGAAGCACAACGACCTGCCTATTTCAACATTCTTCGAGGAAAGTCTAAAAACTTCAACAATGAATCCCTGATCTCCATCATACTAAATTTGTTAGTTGAATGCTATAAATGCATGAACTTGACTTTTACCCACTACCAACAACTAAACTACAATCAAAAATATCTGGACTCTAGTTTATTATACGTTGAAATTTCTAAGTGTCCAGGATACAGCAAAGCACTTTTATTTTTCAACAAAAACTCTTTTTCTTTACCCTATTCTATTGATTCAAATACACTTATTAATATACACGATTATCTGTCAGATGATAATGATCGTAGCGTTAATAAAATTTGTGAACGCTTTTTATATGAAAATATAAACTTGTTACTGTACAGAAATTGTCATTGATTGCACAAATAACTTTCTCTTTAATAAAATTATAAAAATTATATCCAACGAAAAAAGTCACAATCATTATTTGGACAAGAAGCAAAAAACCTGCCATTGTTTGTTCCTTTTTTTTTTACCCTGCGAATAAGGCAAAAAACTGAATGTTTACTACATTTTATGTTAGTGCTCAACATGAGATTAGTTTTTTTCAATGATTTTTTTTGATCATTCCTTTGGTAGTTATAATTATTTTTATTTACTTTATTGATGTCAGAGACATTTGATTTTATTGATATAGAATTTTCTTTGGCTTGTGGGCTACAAAAATTTAATAAAGTTGACTGATTAACGTGTTGAGTCAATTTTTTTGTAGCAACAAGTTGATCTAATAATTTCTTAGGCAGACCCGACAATTTAGATATCTGTTCATATAATGACAATTTTTCATAACTTTTTGTAATAAAACATGTAAACAATGCATCGTGGTCACTATACCCATTATATTGACGTTGTTCTTTACTTATAACTTTAATTTTTTGTTTTTCTGTGGATTTATAAAAAATATAGTCTAAGCGACTACCGATGTTATTAATTCTATTGTTTTCACTAAGCAACCAAAATGTAAACGCGTCAATATCTGCAAAAACATCAACAACTCCAGTTTCTGCTATTAATATTTTGAATAGTTCTAGTTCTTCATGATCACTGTTAGAATCGTTCTCATTATAGATTGCGTTGAAGTCTCCAAAAAGAACCACTCCAAGTTTGCATTCTTCAGCTAATAGTTGCACGAGCAAAAATAGGAATAATATCACTAAAGAGCGTTCAAGCAATCTAGTGCAATTTCTTCGTGCTGGCACGTAACAATTGATAAAAACTACAGAATTATCTAATTTAAATACATTAATTCTTCCTTCATTAATTAGTAAGGTTTTTAACAAATTTTTATTTTCATTTGTCATCTGGTCTAAATTGACTTTCATGCTCTTTGACATTAAATTATTATCATAATACCAAAATACTAATTTCAACACGAATAAAGTGTCGAGTTTTTCATAATTTTGTTTATTAAACAATGAGGCAACTCCTGCGTATGCGTTCAAAGAACTTGCAGTAATAGTCGTAGAATTATTCAAATTAAGTAGCGAAGAAATCGCATTTTTGACTTTTGTTTCCTGAAGTCCTAAAATCACACTACAGCTTTTACCACCGTTATCAATTTTTTTAAATTCACGGCTAGCGTTAACTTGAAATTCGGTCCAAAATTCTTTTAGTGAAATTTTTGTTTCAAAATTAGCTAGTCCATTGATGTTGTAACTTAATAAACAAACTAAACTAGTCACGCACTCATTAAGTAAAATTGGTTTGTAGCATCGATTATAATCCGATATTTCACAACTCATTCAAAATTATAAGAAAATATCTAAAATTATAATGAAATCATAGCATATTATTTATTTATCCAAACACAGATATCGTGCTTAATAAAAGAAGTTTTAATCGACAAACAACTTAAAGTTGTAAATTAAATGCTAGATTCTTCAGCATTAGAGCTATAAATTATTTTTGCTCGTTCTCTCAAAATTTTTTTAACTGGGCCTGTTAATCTATAAAAAGCATTTATTTTTAAATACAAACAATGACATTTGGTGACAGCTATAACTGTTGCCTTTCTTTTTTCGTTGTTCAATAACGCTAGTTCTCCGAAATATGCATAATCATTATATACTTTCAACAAAACTTCTTTTCCGTTTTCGTGACGGAGGGCTTTAGCTTTGCCTTTAATAAGCATATATATTTTATCTCCAACGTCACCTTCCTTTATAATAATTGCATTAGGTTCAAAGAATACTTCGTGCAATACATCTGTCAACTGCATTTTTTTCGATATATCAAGATGCTGAAGTAACTCAATTTTGTTAAGATATTCCATATATTTTTTATTTTTTTCTACCACTGACTCCCTAACCAACTTACGGAATACAGGTCTCTCCAATTTCCAGCATCTGGTATTTTCACTTGCAATAACTGTAGCTAATCTAGGGGAAGAATATAGTAATGCAAGTTCACCTACAATGCTGTCTTTAAACATCTTGTTTACAAGTTTGTTTTCACCATCGATATTTTTAAAAACACTGACTTCTCCCTCTGCTATAATAAATAATGCATCTCCATAATCACCTTCTTTCATCAGCACATCATCTTTTTTAAAATTAATTGACTCAAACGCATCAATTAATATATCTCTTTTATCAGCAGTTACAGTATTGCATGGAAATGTATTTAAAATTAGTTTCTCAAGCTCTATTCGTTCTTGCTCAGTTTTCCTATATACCGGATAAACAAAATCTTCTTCTTCGATGCCGCATTCTTCACTTATTGCTACTCTTCTTGCATTTTCAAATTTTTTCTAAAAATATTTTTTATTTTGAAACACAACTATGATTCAGTTAACTTACATATTGAGGATTTTCATCAACAAATGAACCTGATAAATTCATGAAATAAATTAATTTAGCAAATAATCAAAGAAATTCATTTCTACATTAATTTTTGTCATGGCATGCCAACATGCGATTATTAGAATATTTTTACGTGTAATATAATTATAATGAATATGTCAAACTCGGACGTCACAGATAATAACAATGCCAACTCGAAATCCAATAATAATAATCAACAACTAAAAAAAAAAAATAGTTTTAACAGGTTTAAGAGCAAAGATCAGTGGTCCAAGAAACAAGGAAAAACAAACATTGCTAACTATGATCAAGACAAAGTGGAAAGTTTGAAAACTAATGATTCACTAAATCAGACAACTACTCAGAATTCGGAACCAGTCAAAAATAATTTTAATGAAAATAACGCCAACGGTAATGATATTTTTAAAAATAAAAAAGTTATTGGCGAACTTCCAAGTGGCTGGCCAAAAGGAAGTACAAGTACTAATTTAACTAAAAGATTCGATGCTATACCAGATCAAAGCTATTTTAGAAACAAGTCGTCTATTCAGCCAAATGCTGATTTAATATTCCCGATGAGTGGAATAGCTTATATGGATCCTTTAGGATTAATTAACCCGGCTTCGATGGGGCCGCTTTCTCGGAATACTGATCAGATTTGATGATTAATTAGATTCACATATCAATTTTATATTAATTCAGACATGATTATAACGTTATATTAAAACTGTAAAGACAAGCTTAGATCCAGATTTAGATTGAATATTTACACATTCTAAAATTGTGTGAGAAATTTTACAACTATAACAACTGTTTGTTAATATTGTAAAGATTTTTCTATTAGAATTATTAAATCACCAAGTTACACTTTTATGTCAAATTTTCTTCCGAAATAAAACGTAAATGTATTTTAAGATGTACATTACAAAATTACTGTATAAGTTTGTACGCCCAAGAAATAGAAAACAAAAAAAAAAATTTGATTTTACTTATAAACATAATACCACGTCCTTAGATCAGATACAAAATTTAGTAATCGATTATTTAACAACGACAGATAATGATAATGATACTTTAAATTCAACACCAAACATAGCTGGAATAAAATTTTATGAAGGTCATCCGAGCAATGGATATAGTTTAACAAACACAAACAACAAGTTAAAACCAATAAATGTTTACGATTCTTTCACTAATAACGCGATAACACAACTCTTTCTAGATAAAATTACAAATACGGTATGTTCATTGAGCGAAAATATTAACGAATTCCGCAGCATGAATATATCTCATGACACAGTTCAGGAAAACTGTTTTTTCCGTAACTCAACGCAAGCATTGTTTAATGTTAATTTGTCTAATAATTATCCAAAAAAATTTTCTACGGTTTCAACCATCCAGATCGATTGTTTTCCTGGACTTGGATTTGATGAATTTCAGCTCAACCATACAAATGGAAATTCTCTAGACTCTTGTAAACTAGAAGTCAAAATAAATGAATTTGATGAAAAATCAAATTTTACAGTAGAAGTTTCGATTGAGAATTTCTTGCATATTTTTGATTTTGTCAACATCTCTAAAAACATATTTCTTGTAGACTCGAAAATAATCTTACTCGAAACAATGAAAAATGACCCGGAACAAGTGCAGGTACGCATTAATGATCTGATAGTTAATTTATTAACCTTTATTCAAATGTTAGTATCAGAAAGATTAGTTTATAAATTATTAAGTCAAAACGATTCGTCTCAAATAATTTTCAAAAATACCTCTAATGATATAGTCAGAGAAAACTGCTACTTTCAATTTATCTTGAATGATTCAATACTGCTGCACGAAATATTACAACATATCTCAAACGGTCGATTTTTCCGATTTTTATATAATAATCAGGATCTTTGTAACGTACCTAATTCAAACTGTACTTTAAATAGCTATATTAAAAATATTAATTCACCCATTATAAATAATAAAGAGTACGATTATGTTTCAAAAAAACAAAAAAAACGTTTTTAAGGTCTTTAACCAGTATTGAATTCGATCGTTAATTAACAAATGTGAACCTAAATAAAAAAGTGTGATTCACATTTTAAACGTAAGAAAATATTCAAAATTTTATTAAGATTGATAATAGATTGTTTTAACTTAAAATTCATAAGACAATGTGACAATTAAAATAATGTAATATTTACAAATTGTTATGGTATTTATTTATTTTCAAAACATTTGTGTTAGTTATAGGTAGATCACGTAGTTTAGCAGAATTTGCGAAACTTCCGATTAAAGGAACAATTGACGACATATTGTTTCGATAGTCGTCATATTGACTTTTTGACATAGCACAATTATCAAGGTTGGTAAAAAACAAATCGTTTGTTATCTCATTACTTTCTCTGTTTTGAATGTTAGTATTGTTTAGTAATGCTATCAACTGACGTACAATGTTTAAAAACGTGACGATATAGAGTGAAATTGCATTTTTATTACCTCCACTATTTTTATAAATTTCATAAATCGTTAAACAATTAATTTCAATTTCAACTTCATAAACAATTTGATTTCTCGAGTTAACTTTGGTGAAATCAATTTGGTAAAAATCGTTTAATTTGATTGAATAACGTTCTCTTTCTCTGCTTGACAAAATGTTGTATTTTGATTTAAAACCATGATCAAATTCAAAGTCTTCTAAAGGTACAAATTTCTCCCTATTAAACTTGATTCGATAGTGGCAAAGATTGTCCAATATATCATTCGTATCGATAATATTTTCGTTGTTATCATCTTCATTTTGAGATACGACATAACCACTGTAAATGTTGAAAACATCATAATTATATTTATTATTGGATTCAACTATTTTTTTAGTTTTAATATCAGTAATCGCTCTTGCTGTACAATTCTTAAGTTTATAAATATTAACTAACGTTTTTGAATAAGTGTGAGGAAAGATTTTAGACAAAGCTTCGTTTGTTTCTTCTTCTATCATAAAATCAAACGCATTATTTGGTAGACCAAAATTTGTCACAAAATAACTTGCTAGTAATTTTGCTGAATTATACGGAATGGAACCTTCAAAAATAGTTCGGTGTTCTTGATTTTTTTCATCATTGATTAGCACTTCGGTTTTTGTCGGAAGCTTTAATCGCGAATTGGAAAAATAGTCCTTAATGAAACCTAGCCTAGCTTCAATTTCTAATTCACTGATGGGTATATTGTTTGTTTCTATGTTGTTAAATAATTGACAAATAGCTTCAACCACCACATAACTTATTGGATCAGTTTCTTGTAGTTGCTCGGCCATAAAATTAAAAATTCATACTGAATTACCCCCAATCTTATCTTTTAATGTGAATCTACTGTAGAAAGATTTAGCTTTAAAATAACATTTCTTTACATCAAAGATATTTCAATATTTTCTAACAAATAATAAAAAAAAATCAATAATAATGAAAAAAGCATAGGTTATAAATTATCACTAATTCGTTGATTCTGGAGATCCGAAACGAAGAACTCCAGCTGAAATCAGCGTTTCAATAGCACCGCTTATTTTAGGATCAGCCATATATTGAGCAATCTTGGCCGGGGATTCGCTGATAGATTTCAAAATCATTTGCATTTGTGGATCGTTTATAATAGCTGAAACTTCTGGGTCAGCCATGGCTCTAGCCATTTGTTCTTCACTAGGTTTTTCGTACATCTGTTGCATGATCGCCATTTGTACGTTTTGAAGTCCTGCTTTACATTCATTACTATTCGAATCAATCCTTAAACCAGCTGAATAAGCCTCTTTAGCTTTTTTATAATTCTTCATTTGTAAGTAACAGTACCCTTTGCGGCTATAAGCTTTAACAAAATTGGGGTCTAATTCTAAAGCTTTTTCGCAATCTTTTAATGCACATGGAAATTCAAGTAAGCTTGAAAAAGCTGCAGCCCTGTTACTGTAAAGTTTTGGGTCTTGTGGATTTCTCTTTATTGCTTCATCGTATTCTGCTTTCGCTGCTGGAAAATCTTTAACCTTGAAATATTCATTACCTTTTAGCTTGTGTTGTTCAGCAATTTCAGGATTTATGTATTCCTTCCGAGCTATCTCATCTCGAAGACGTTCTATTTCTTTTAAAGCTAAGCGATATTTCTTGTCTTGAACTTCAAGCAAAGCGTTTTTATAACATTGTATAGCTTCGTCATAGTTTTCTATTGCCAAGTATATTTTAGCTAATCTCTCGTGTAGCTTAGCCACTTGAGTATATGGTAATCTTACTTCGAGACGCTTTTCTAAAGCCTTGTTAAGAACTTCAATACCTTCATCGTATCGTTTTTGTTCCATGTACACTGCTGCTAGATTGAAAAGTATCATTAAATTAGTTTCGTCTTGTTCATAAGCCTGTGTGTAAAGCTTTTCAGCCTCTTCAAAGTTCCTAGCCTTGTAAGCTTCGTTACCTTGATTTTTAAGTGTTATTGCTAATTCTACGTTGCTCATTATTAATTTTTTTATCTGAAATTTTATATTTAATAAACATAATAATTTATAATTATAAAAAATAAAAAATATTATTTATCGTATAATCTTTATTTTTAAGCATGGCTTACGACTTTTGTACGTTTAACCTTTTTGAAACAAGTTGAAGTTGTGCTTGAAATAGTATTTGTGAAAAAAAGTTGATGTGTAACTCGAAAGTTGACGATCATTGTCGACAACAACGAAGAAGGCCAAATAAAGACTGTTTAGAATCTACTAATTTATTCATTTCTTACTTTAACAAGATAAGTATAACTAAACCAAAGTATGTCTTATTGCAAAAGCAATTAGTTTATGACTTCTATTTCGAAAATGCGAGGTTAATTTCAATTGGTAAAGCAAAACCGATAGAAAATTCAGATCAAGTTTTAATTGTTTGGAATGCTGGTCAAAATTATCTTCTTGGTAAGCCTGATCAACATAATCCATGCATCTTTTCGTTTGTAACAGATATTTCTTCTCTTAAAAAGTTTCAATATTACCGCGGATTTTCGCTGATAAAAAGTTTATTTTTAAAGTACTGTTGCGATATAGCTGAATTCGATGAAATACTTGATCAAGATGATGATTTAGATTTTTTTACCATTTATCCTCATGTAATTAATTCTATTCATCGAGAAATTTATTTGTCATCTAAACTTATCAGTAGTTTTGGCATTGATACATACAAGTTCAGTAAAATTACGAAACTCGATATCTCTAATAATAACATCGTATTAAATGAGGAATTCCTAAACAAAATTATAATGTGTTTTCCAAATTTATTAGAACTTGACTGTAGTGATATTCAGGAAATAAACCTGAAAGAAATTCGTTTTGATGACAACGATGCAAATAGAATAAAATTGAAAAATCTCGTGTTGAATCGTCTGAAAGATAAACATATAACGGTCGATAATATAGCAAAATTAATAAATAGATTCAATCCTTCAGAAGTCAGCTTACAAAATTCTCTTGTTCAATTTTCCCAACTGCTAAATTTATTCTCAAAATGTAATTTGTTTCCTAGTCTCATTATATCTGATTGTGCTAATTTGAACTTATACAATTTCTTTAAATATATAGCTACATCAAGTATATTTAAAAAATTAACAATAACAAACAATAGCATTAATGCTAAACTATTTCTGAACAACGTAATAAAAGTTCTAAGCATTGAATTTTTATCTGTTTCGTTTTGTAAATTAAATATTATTGAGAAAGACTATAGTAAATTTCTGTGCAATTTATTGAGATCTTTACCTAATATTCTATCGATCAGAATTGCGAATATTACTCTCGAAGAAAATAAAAAATGTGACTTCAACCAGCTTTTTAAAAAACTGTGTGTTTTTCTATGTCCTAGAGTTCAGTCTATTAATGGTCTTAAACCGGACATTAGTTTTGATGATGCTAAAGAAGATATATTGAGTTTTATTTTGAACGATGTTTATGAATTTGATTCTGCATTTGCGGACGAAGTTTTGAAACAATGTGAAATTTCCAAAAATGAAATAACACAGCAACACATGAATCGGGTTTTGAACGAAGAGAAGTTGATGTACTGGGAAAAAGCAACAAAATATTCTAATAAAATATCTCATCTCAAAACTAATTATATAATTGTAACAAAAGATTTTAAATATTATGTATTATTTTTATCTTTAGGAGACACAATCTTAGACGTAAAATTAAAGTTTAACGCATTAAACTATCTTGCCGTGATCGACGGAATTGAAGTAAGCAATGAATATATAATTTTATATAAATTAAAAATTATTTTAAAAAAAAATTTGGCTAGCTATTAGGATTGTTAAATTTATAATTCAGTTCGCATTGCTAAAAAAGCTAGAACATGTTCGTTGTACTCGGCAATATTTGAAACAAAACTGCGCATGTTAATGCATATATCCAGCACAGAAAGTAACGCTTCTTTGCATTCTTTATATAGCTCTTTGTCTTGAGAGCTGTTTATGCATAAAAATATATTTTCCAACCAGGAATAGTAAAGTCTAGTTGCAGATCTAAACGACATGTAGTTGTTTTCTAGGTTGTTCGCAAAAAAATGAAGTAGCTTCACCAACTCATGGGTAGACAAATTAATGACTAAAGTTAGAATGTCTGTTTCATCAATATTTCTCAGACATGTTTCAATGTATTTGACGTTGTTGAAGGCTAAAGCAACTTGTAACGCTTCCGAATAGTTTTTTTCTTTAATCAATTTTTCATAATCAGCCTGAGAAAACGAAGTCGAAAGTAACGACGTTTCCGGCTTGTTTAAAAAATAGTGAGAATTTTGATACGCTAAAATCGTATTTTCACTCACACTTTCAATTTTTGCAAAGATATATAAAGCGTTCTTTGTTCCAACGTACAAGTATGACGAATTGGAAGATAAGACAAGTGTGTATAGCTGTAGCTTATTACTTATGGAAGCATGTTTTCCAGAATCAATGCCCGCAAGCTTATTTCTTTCTAGAGCGTGTTTCGTTAGCAATTCTTCTGTGCCTAAGTTAGAGTCATCCAAATTGTATTCACACAGTGGAACGCCTTCCAGTAATTTTTTGCTGTTTAACTTTCGCATTAAGTTGTCAACCGACCTATTTTTTGACAAATAAAATGATGACGCTAAGCCTTTTTCTTTAAGATCGTAAATGCATATTTTAGGGCTTTTTTTATTAGCCGCGACAACGTATCGTCCGTCTAAAGTGATGTCAATGAAATGAAAACAAAGAGTTGGATCGTAACCCTTGTTATACTTTAATGTACTATCCTGGTTTTTTTCTTTAAATTTGTCGTTGTTTGCTGTAAACTCTTGGTCTGATTCCCGACCAACATAAATGTCACGGACACCTTCAATTTCTGAAATGATCGTTTCGTCAACGTAATTCCAATGATACAAAGTGGCTCCTACGTGACTCACAATAATTTCATTAGCTCCGTCACTGGAAGGATTAAATGTTAAAGTTAAAGCAGGTCGCGTTGTGGCAGCTAATATTATGGGCTTTCCACCTTTATTTTCTCTGCCAAAAACGTCCCATATTATTATCGAACCGTTGTTACAAGCTATTGCAAGATGCCCATGATTTGCAAGATGAGGAGAAAAAGCAATGAAGTTAACCGATGTGTCGGTGAGTCCAAATTCATCAAGTGTTTTGCCAGTCTGAATATCTATAATATAAACACAAGAGCGTCTGCCATTACAATAAGCAGCGAGTATTTCGCATCCATAATCAACGACTAAACCTTTTAACAAACATACTTCGTTATTGTAATATATAGGTTTTGTTTGTCTAAAACACTTTTTCTTGTATAAATCATAAAAACAAAGAGTTCCATCGTAACTAGAAGAAATAAGTAAGTTACGTTGTAACGTAAATAATAAGCCAGAAATTCGCGCTGAATGATTACTAAACGATTTTATTATATGACCTTGATTCGCGTCCCACAAACGAACAGTACCTTCTGTATTACCTGTTGCTACTATGTGAGAGCTTAGGAATGTTTCGGACGCCAATTTTACTTTATTGTAAGCTGAAGGTAGAACAGCAAGACAACTTGAAGTATCGTTTAGGTTTTTTTCATGGAAAAGGATGGTGTCAGACTGCCACTGCCAAATCCCAATTTCATAGTTTATATTAGATGCGTACGCCACAAGTGTAGATGTAGGATTAATACATAAATGAGTTATGTGACAATGGTTAGAAATCTTATCGGTTTTTGCTACTTCAATTATAGTTTCTGGTCTGCTTTGAAGATCTTCTTCGAAAAAAGAGTCACTTTTGAAATCGATTCTTGCTATCAAAATTCGTCCATTGGTAGAAGCGTAATATAGTGTGTGAGTTTGAGAATTAGCAATTGCAGTAGACACATTCATAGAATCAAGATTAACAAATGCTCGAACGTGAAAAACCCATTTACCGGTGTTCCATATGTCTTGTTTGTTTGAAGTAGAATTAACGTCTTTTAAGAGAACTGATTCGAACTTTTCAGGATAATCATCCATTGTGTCTCGTGAGGTTTGTTCATTTGAAATAGTTAAAGTGCCTTCGTTATCAAAATGTTCTGATGTATTTTTAATTCCAGAAAGTTCTTTTTCAACTGTAAGGTAATAAGACTCTTGCTGCTGTAAGAGTTTTTCTTTGTTCTGTTTTCTAAACTTAGACGGTCTAACATCTTTAGCATGGTTTAAATGCTCAGATTCTTCATACCACTTCCAAATGCAAATGTAGCCGGCTTTACCACCGGTAACAATGTATTTACCGCACTCACTTTGATAACAGAATAAAAGTTCTTGTTTGCAATCCAAAAAACTGAGAGGAACCTGCCATTTATGAACAGACCAAACTTTAACTTGCATATCATATCCACAACTAAGAATGTAGTCATCTTTAATAAATTTAATGCAGGTACATTTTTTTTCGTGTCCTCGCAATTTCCATATTAATTCGAATAACCACGACGATTCAGCACATGGTAATTTCCAAAGTCCTATTTCATTATCTGCGGCAGCACAAACGTAGTGAAAATCCGGACTTATTGTCACGGCTGTAATTTCAGATTTGAACAAAACAACGGAGTGAATTATCGTGTTTTTTTGAGTGTTTATCATGTACAGCCGATTAGAAGCATCGATGCAATAAGTAATATTATCTTTGGCAGGCAGAACCCATATAATGTCAAAATTGACTTCTGTACTAAATACGTGGTGGTCCCCGAATATTACATTCTGAAAGTGAATTCTGTTGCCTATAGCTGAAAACAAGATGTCTTTTTCCGAAGAAAACAAAATATTTCCACCAGAGTAAGAAGCCCCCAATAAGTTTTTAAAACAGTATTTTCTCATCATGTAATGCTGACTGCATAATAAAGTTTTTCGTTTTTATTTTTTTCTTCAAAAAGGATGTAATGAGAAAATCTGTATATGTAAAAACTTTCATATAATTTCAATATAAATTTTTATGGTAGCTGGTAGATAAGTTACATTTTTGTTATTAATTAATCTCCCATATTTCAATGCCTTTTATAGACTTTGTGTTGTTTTTCGACGTTTTGTAGTCCTCATCCACAATGTACTCTAAAGATAATATGGAGAGTGATTTGTCAATGGACAATATCGATCTGAACACTTTTTTAATTTTAAAACTTACGGGTTGCAGAAATAAATTCCATAATTTGTGTTAGTTGCTTTTTGGTTGTTTACTATAATGTTAGTCATAGAAAAAAAATATTTATCAGAAGTTCTGTTGTTGGTGTACAAAATAGCAGGCGTTCCTGAATAATTTTTAGTCGTGTTGTTAAGTAAAAGGCTGTAAATAATACTGTCTTGACAAGAAAAGACTATGAGGTAGTTTGTAGATAGACAATCAAAAAGTCTCCGACAGTTCAAACCGTTTTTATTAGTTGTGTACCGGAGTGAAAAATCTTTGCCTATGAGGTTATCGGGCAAGCTGACTTGCAAATAAAAAAAGTCCTCGTATGAAAGTAGCTGGCTCTCCAGGTTATAATTTCGGTTCTTTCCTATGAGTTTGAATATACTAATAGTGTTGGAAACTTTGTGTAAACAGTATGATGAGTAGTGAAACTCAGAAGTTTCTGATTCTGTTGTTGTTACTGCATCAAGTTCATCAAAATTAAACGAGTTGTTCCTCAAAGGCGAATTAACCGATTTACTTCGTAACAACTGGTAACCCGAAATAGTTTTGTTTTTGAAATAATCAAAAAGACTTGTTTGGCATTGCAAATCGTCGTAAATTTTGTAGACCTGATACAAAAATCTTACTTGTCCGTGGTGATCTTCTGGCACGTTAAGAATTAGCTTAACATGAGCTGGATGTTTACAAAGCAACAATAAATCTTTTTTAAGTGTTAACCAAGCAAGAAAAAATCTTAACAAACCGTAAGAACCGTTGGTACAAAATAAAAAATATAAATTCAATGAAATCAACGTAGGCAATTCGTGAATTAAAGCAACAGCTATCCCCTCTGACAGCCATTTATGGACCTCAAAACCTATTTTATCCAGATGTTTTACAAGTGTTCTCTGATTTTTTTTGAGATAAAGGGTTGCTTCTTTTAGTACATTGCCATGCTCCGTGTTAGTTTGTATTACGAAAAACCTGGATCTGTCGTTATGTGTAAATAATTTTGCTTCAGTATCAAATAAATATGCTAGAAAAACTACAATGCGTTCTTCCTCTAAAAATAATAATAAAAATGCGATTAATTGGGTCAGTATAGGTACAAACGAAAGTTCTCTAAGCAATTTATAAAAAAACCAACTTATTTTTATGGCCGTTGAAATACCTTCAGACGATAAAAACGGACAAAAGCCAATTTTCTGAATTTCACGTTTCGTAAAGGCTGATTGGTCTTGGAAAGTTACAAATTTTGAACTGGTTTTCAGTGAAATTTGGCTGGAAGATACTTCAATATTATAATAGCCAAAATCTAGACCGCATAAACAGTAAAAAGGAAATACGTGTTCAAGTGTTTGCGTGTTGTGGTATTGTTCCAAAAAAGCAGTTCTAGCTTTTTCGTCGACCGTGCTGTTTACAGAATCAAAAACAAGATACAGTTTTTCTCTCAATTCGCTGGCTTCGTAGTGCCGAGTGTAAGGGTTTAGTTTATTGGCGATATTAAAGCTATGAATTTTAAAACTCTCTTCAAAACTTAGACTCGGTGAACTCGATCTGCTAATCTGCTCTCGATAGTTCAATCTAGAATTGAGCTTTTCTGTATTACAGAATTTAGTCACATGAGACGTAAAAACGTTTTGATTTAATGTAGAACTTTCCTCGACATTTAGAGACGAGGAAAGAAGAAAGTTGCTTTCGCTCGAGCTCAAAACAAGCAAATCTCTTTGTTTACTATCTGATTTTTTAAACATATCATAACTAATTCTGCATTTTATTTACACAAAACGTGTATACCTGTCTCAATGTGATGTGTTGACGCAATAAATCGACTTTGAGATGAACGAAAGCCAATATTATTTAATTTGATTGGTTTATTTATTTATCAAAAAATAATATTATTTAAAGCGTTCATTCGCTGTTTGCAAATACAACGCAGGACTATTTTTCAGCATTGCAGCTGCCTCTAAGTTTAGCGGATCGCTACAGTCTGGAAACTCTAAGTTGTCTTTGATATTAAACATTAGCGTTAACAGATCCATAACGGGCGACCAGCCCATCCGCAGAATCTTTAAACAAACAGTGCCGTTGTCCGAAACATTAGGGTGAAAAATCTTGTTTAATAAAATCACTCTCGGGCTTACGATAGGATAGTTTTTGTGAAACTCAACATTGAAATGAACTTTTTTTTGCCGAAACGGGCCTAAATACTTATATATACACGCTAGTACCTACCTTTATCGAGTTGAATGGTGAATTGTATCTGATAAGGATTTGCTGTGCGTGTGTACGAACACCAAGTTAAATCATTTATATCCGTTAAATCTAAAAATTTCTTTTTTTTCTCCTACCTTGTTCAATTCTCAACAGACAAATACTTGTAAATTTCATCATAAAAACTATTAAAAAATATTTTAAAAATTATTTTATTATATACGGTCAAGATTGACGATAAGACAAACAGATGGCTACTTATTTAAACACTCGGCTCGAAGATTTGTACAAACAATATAATGGAGCTCCAGACACTTTACCCAATTTAAATGAGAACAACGTAGATGCCCAGACCTTTTACCATTCTCAAGCGTTGGAGCTGGCAATTTCGCCCATAAAGTCTCAACTGCCAAATATTGTATTTTTGTATTTTACCGGTTTGAACGGACTTTTTGGTAATATCATGTTGCTCTACACGGGTTTTGGCATAATTAAAACGCTGTGGATCGCGAGCAGACAGTTTTTGGAGTTTGAACGACAAAGCGAACAAACCTACAAATTGTTTAGACTAGTTCATTTTCTAAGTAGCATTTTATGCTTGGTTCTACTCCTTGGGGTCGTTTTGAAAAAAAATTTTAATAAATATAATAACTTTATCATAAATCGAGATTCTGATATTCGATTTAATTATTTATTTTGAAATAAATTAATAAAATATTAGATGGAAACAATATTGTTAGGTAAGTCGAGACGTGAGAGTAGCGAGTTTGATCACAGGTTCGATGAAATCCCGGGAAAAAGTTCATAATAATGAAGCTGTTGAACAAAAAAACGACGGTAACGAGGTAACTGACACCGAGCTTGAGAATTTCAGGTTTCACAAGTGGCAAACAGTCGCGTCTCTTTTTGATTATTTGGACGATGCCAGTTTTTGTTGTAGACAAAATATTGATGGGTATTTGGTGCTTTTAAATGTCTTGGGAGGCATGTGGTGGCTGGCGTCCTGCATCGATATTATCTTGCTGAAAAACGGGTTTAGCGAATTTATTTTTTTAGCAAAGCTAAAAGAAAACTTAATACCGTGCATTGTGCTTTCGTTCCTGATAAAGTCGCTGCTGGTCGTGGATTTTGGCTTAGTCAAGCTTTACCTCAACAAAAAATGGTTTTCATCTAGAACGCTGTTATGGACAAACAAATTCGTAGAAGTAGTTTATTATATTTGTCTAGTTAAATATTTACGTCTTAGAAATTATGATTTCACAGTTGCTAAGTTTTTGTGCATTATGTATTTTATTTACCTGATGAAAAGCCACGCTTATGTTTATTCAATTATAAAACTCAAAAAATACTTTCCGAAACAGACGTCGAAACTTAATAAACTTCAAACGTTTTCCAGACTCGTGCGTTTCATTTATATTCCAGCTTTAGTATACGAAATTGACTTCCCACGGAGCACAGGCAAGTTTAGAAAAAAGTACTTCTTCTTAAAATTAATCTCCACAATTACTGTCTTCAACATTTACATCTACCTGATTTACTATAAATATCCAGACCTGATGCGTGCACAGTCTCAAAATCACTTGATCACACTTATTACTTCCTACTGCTCAATTTTGATTGAGTCCGTTATGTTAATTTTTCTTTTCATGTTTGATGGAATATTAAACTTGTTGGCAGAAGCAACAAGATTTCCAGATAGACAATTTTATGGATTCTGGTGGAATTCCACAACGTTTATCGAGTTTTCGAGAGACTGGAATACCCCTGTGTACAGATGGCTTCATGTGTACATTTATAAGGCCAGTTTGGGCTATTTTAAAAAACACAACAAAATATTGTCTGTTTTGTTAACACTTACAGTAAGTGGAATATTGCATGAGCTGTTCTTGTTCGTACTTTTTGGGTCCTTTAATTTCTACATTTCGCTGCTCACCCTGTCACAAATCCCGCTTTCGCTCACAGTGAAGTACTTCAAAGGATCAATCTATGGAAAGATTTTCTTCTGGACTTGCATCACATTAGGGATCACTCTACTAGCAATTTGTTACAACAATAGCCTTAATTAGTTTAAATTGTTTTTTAAGATGCTTTCGGCCGCTTTAGTTAAAGTTTTGTACTTATATTCATTGATGTATGTAACTATAGATTTTATTGATTTTTTGAAATGTATCTTGACTTGTTCTACTTCAACTCTATATTCGTCTGCAAGCGTTTGGAAGTTCTTTTTTTGAATGGCTACGCCGATCAGCACAGCGTGCTGAAAAGGAAGAAGTTCGACACCATTTACAATCAAGTCATTAACCGTGGTTTCGCAGAATTTTTGCGATAAATATAAATGGGTGGCCACGATGCACAAATCCATTATTGTTTCCTCGTTCAAACCTGGGCCAATGTATAAATTTAATCGTTCGATTGCAGAAGGGGGGAGCAATAAGTTCAAGGTCTTTAAAGATATCGCCTTTGTATCGCCGCAACCGTTAAATACTATCCTGTAAAGTAAAGCGACAACTTTTGTTTCCAAATGGCAAAAATACTGTTCAATGATAGACAAGAAGTTAGAACGAAAAAAAATCACTCCTCTGCAGTTTCTGTCTGGTGTAAACAACAGCACCGGTTTATTGTCATCAAGGTTTTTTTTAATTACGATCGGAGCTAACTTGGCTTTGTAAAAAGCGAATAATTCGTCTAAAGACAAATTAGACGCGTATAGAAACATAGTACCAGACTTGTTGAGTTTCTTTAAAGCCTGTATAATAAGGGTTGTTAAGTCAGCGTCTCTTGGACGCTTCATTATGCTCAACACTATAGTATCGTTGTTGATGAACGAAGATTCGTATTTCGAGCCTGGAAAAAAACAACTTAAGTCCAAAAAATTAAACTCAAGTAAGGTGAAGGTTCTATCGTCTTTGCAAACAACCGTTTTGTTTTTTTTATCAATCAAGACATTAATGTTCTCATTTATACGCTCATTTTTGGCCATATGCCCAGGTTATTTATTGTGGTATAATCAGTAATTTTATTTTCAAAATTTTTTTTTGCCTAGTTTTCTAAAATATTTAAAAGCTCATGAGTATGATTTAAACTTTTAAAAATGGATGTTAGAAAAGAATATTTAAACATTGTCGTTGGAGAAAAATTTTACGACGATATTGAAGATTGGCTGATCATTGAGTTTGGAAACCTTAGTCTTGAGTTTAACATTTGCGACGAACCGCGCCCATTTGAAGAAACAGACCAGCAAAAAATGAGGTGCGAGCAAATCATTAACATTTATCTAGGAAGTATAGCGTACTTACTAGATAAAAAAACTAAAGAGCTGAAAATTGACAATTTGATTTATACTCCAGAAATAGTAGACATTACTAATGAGCCGATCATAATATCTGTCCAAGAAGGCCAAACTTTGAAATTGTTGAAGCGAATTACGAAAAAATACGTGTACAACAACACACCTACATACGAATGGTGAGCATTTTATGTTCTTAAAAGTACTAAAATATTGCAAAAAGATAGTAGTGTTAGGCCGGACTGCAAAAGTTTTTTTCCTGAATTACGATAAATGGAACTGAAGTAGAATTCGTTGTAAATTAAATCCTTTGCGTTATTGTGCATTTCGATCAATTGAATGACCTGGTCAGTAAAAGAATAAATAGACCAGCCTAAATAAGTAATATTTAGCATTAATAGTATGAAATCTGTTTTAGTTAATTTGTGTTTCTTTAGTATATCTATTTTTCCAAGCGATGTTTTCAGCGGTTTCCGCAGCAAATATACGAGTAATAAGTTATTAGCTAAAAACATAGGAGATGTTTGAGCAACTAAATTAGTAAATGGTTTATAGAAGATCTGTTTGTGAAGAATCCATATTCTCGCGCAAATTTCTTTAAGGTTAACTCCTAAACCCGATTTTTTCAACTTATTTTTCGCTATTGTTTGCTTTCGATTACAAGTCAAAATAAACGAAGTTAGCATCTCTCGTGGACTGGAGCTGATCAGCTTGTTGTCAAATCCGATTGCTTTGAAAACGCCCGATTGTATATATTTGCTAAGCAAATATAAATATTTTATTATTGTTACACTTTCTGTGATTACTGTGCTAATTATTGAAGCGTAAGGGCTGTTTCTGATAAAAAAATAATACAGTTTTTGCTGATAGTGAGACCAAATGAAAGCGTAAATCGGTACAACACATAGAGCTGTGTTGATTAAAATAAACACATGAATGATCTGATCAAGAATTTTTTTGTTCGCTGTTGTTTGCTTGCTTAAAAATTTTATTTTATTATAGCGAATAAATAAAACTGACACTATGATAAGTATTTCAATATATGTCACGATTGATACTGATAGTTTTTTAGTTTCGTAAATGTAATCTAGAAGCACAAATTTCATTGCAAATATAAATGATATTGCAAAAATTGTAGTTGAAAAAGTGAATAAATCAAAATTCTGTTTAGTAACTAAGCTTGTAAACATTTTATGTGATTTAAGAGTATTTATAACATTGACATGCGCATAGCATATTATTTTTATGCCAACTCATCAATGATTTATATAAAACAAATTAATTTAAATTAAAAATTCGGTTTTATTATTGGATAAATTGATAATAATACCCGCAAAATTAATTCAAAAGCGATGAGTAGTTTTTAAAAATGAAATTGCTTGTTCTATAGTATATAACAGCTTAATGACATGTTAATTGTTGGAGACGATCATGATGCGCACAAATTGCTAATTGCCTTTTTATTACGTGAGACAATTTGCAAAGACATCAAACGATTTTTTTTGCTTGTGATTGGAAAGAAAAGATACTGCAATCAAATGTTTTATAAATATGCTGAAACTATATGCGACAAAAACTTGAATTATGTCATAAATAGGCTTAGAGATAATGAAATCGTACCACGATTTTTTTTTACTAGTATGATAATAAACGATTCGATCGATTTAATTTTAACTATCACTAAGACTTATAATATTAAAAAAGTGGTTTATTATGGGATTATTCCTCCGAACGAACTTCTCTGCAAACTAAACAAAAAATGTGCTACCACTATTCCGTTTAATTTTATTAGCATAAGAAAATCAGATTTGATTTATTTACTTAAATCTTTCAACGTTACAAAGGTTTTGTCTTTGTTGTATCACAAGGAAGTTCCTACATTAAGGAATATTAATTTCATTTGTGTAAAACCTCTCCGTGGCGTTAGCTCGGTTGATTTGTACTTGGGAACATCTGTGTACCATAAAGACTTTTTAAAACACTGCGACGTTGTTTTATCAGACATACTTTCCGAGTGCGGCGCAGTTGATGAAGACGAAAGTTACATTAAAAGTCCTTTTAAGCCGCCGAAAATATCCTCGCTTTTTTCATATATATGTAAACGATGTAAAACTGAATATTCCAATCACGAGAATATTCTTAAAAATAGCTTTCAAACCGGCACAAATGAAGATGCTGTCCGGTTGATAAAATTGCTGTATAAAAGCAAATACAATAAGTTTACGACGGGAGGAGAGATTTGGTACGTTAAAACAAATAACATTGCAAAATCCAATTTAAATTTGTTCGAGTCTGTTGTTGATTTAATGCTAATAAATAAACTCTTTGGCGTGTGTCTAGTGAGGCTAACGACAATCAATATACAGTTTTTTGCGATCTTATTCCCTCTTTCTAAAGATTGCTTATTTCTCCAGCCGATTATCGATTCTGTTTACATAAATCCATACTACAGATCATTGCTTAATAAACAAAAAGTTTATCAAATAACCAATAGAAGTTTTGCTTTTACGGAATATGATAATTTCGAATCAATATTCAATGTCCCAAGTTTATGCAACAAAAGAGTTGTTGAAAACGACGTTGACGAGGTAAAAAAAGCTATTTTAGACTTAATTAAAATAAAAAAATCGGTTTCTTCCAAAAGTGAAACCGTTTCAAAATCGAAAGATCAGAGCTACTCGTATTATGTGACGCTATTTAAAAACAATTTGATTTCATCTTACATGGACTTACCGCATTTTTCAGTTGTTAATCAATATAAAAATAAAATATGTAAAAATTTTATATCATAATGGTTGCCACACATGGATTATAGAAAATAATTCTTAATTTTGATCTTTGTAAAAAGTATAAATGAACTGGGACATAGTTATTATTATAGCAGTTTTTGGACTAGCTTGCAGATTTATCAACATTATACTTCTATATAGTCTTAAAGCTCTCTTGTTGTTAAGAAAAGCAAAAAAAATTCCCAAGGACAATGATCGAATTGTCATTACTGGAAGTACTGACGGAATTGGTTTGGCTTTCGCTAAATATTTTGCAAAAGCAAAAGAAAATATTCAATTAATCCTTATTAGTCGTAACGAGATCAAACTAAGCAACACAAAAACGGAAATCATCAAATTAAATAACAATATCAAAGTTGATACCATTGTTTGTGATTTTTCAGCCGGTACGTTAACGCCAGAAATTCAAAAACTTCCGCCAATCGACTTATACATTCACTGTTCAGGTTTATCATATCCTAGTGCATTGTATTTGCACGAGATTAGCGACGAGTTGATAAACGATATGATCAATGTCAACTTTCTTATGCCGTTGCTATTGACAAATCAACAATTAAACAACGTTACTAACAAGGAGTCAACGGTTTTATACTGCGGAAGCGCTGCAGCTACAATTTGCGAACCTTTACTAGCTGTATATGTAGCTACAAAAGCCAGCCTCGCAACATTTACCGAACTGTTGAGCGCGAGTTACTTCCAGAAAAACTTTGTTTTTCAGTGTCACACGCCTTTCATAGTTACTACTAAAATGTCTAAAATAAAAAAACCCAGTTTATTGGTTCCTTCGACTGAGAAATACGTCAAATCCGCTATTTCTTGCATTAGATACGCTAGTAATAAACACTTTTATAATTTCTTCAGACCCATTATCACGCCGTACTGGAGTCATAAATTGATTGAATTGTTTGCTTTATATTTAATCCCGCCAGACCTATTCAATTATTTCAGACTAACGTCACAAAAAAAAATCCGATCAAGATATTTGAAAAAACAAAACGTCATTAATTAAGGTTGCAAAGCAATATTTACTAGATAATCTCTGAACATTCCAATCGCAATCACATACATATTACTGATAGCTGAAGCCTTCTCGGGTTTTATTATTTTATCTTCCAAACCTTGAATATATGATATCCCTACGCCTTTCCCGTCAATGTTTTCCAATAGGTTGTACACCAGAAAATCGTGTAGCAGGGTTTTAAAATTAAACTTTTGTGGTGAACCCCAGACATAAACATCACCATCGACTAAACAAATACTCGAATTGGCAGCGGCGTAAATTTTTGTTGGATTCAATGGAACATTGACTCTTTTTGCAGCTGTAATTGTTTCAGCTGTTGAATCAACACCGCATTGTCCCCAGAAATTGTTGCCAAATGCGTATAGTTTTCCGTTTGACAACAACACTAATAAATGCTCATCCCCACAGACTATGTCATTGATTGAATTTCGTTTCAAATCTATGTTAGCTAGTATCGAATCCGCTAACGGCAAAATTATGATTTTTTTATCGTATAAAACATTGTTGAAAATTCCACATGTTTTTGAATACCCGTCTTTCAAAGGCGATCCTGTTACATATTCTGGAGAACCAAATTTATATATCCATGAAAACTCGTCGTTTTCATTTGTAAAATTCATAAGTAGATACCCTCCTTTCTGTGTTAAGCACAATTTCACATTGGTTAAAATGCAATATTGGTATTCGCATATTGCAATTAACACATAATTGATAATTACCGGAACTCGCGGCCATTCGCCTGTTAAATATAACCCTCCACTGTTTGTTACAAGTACGGTTCTGTTATCCCTGGCGCCAATGGCTATAACGCTCTGATTGCCAATGTATTGGTTTAGTTTTACAGGTTCGTAAACTACATTCGTTTTCGATAAACCAAGACAGGCTCCATTTCCTAAACCGTATACAATACCCTAAAAAATATGGCTAAAATAACTTACACTTTCACAAAGTGCTAGACAATGGTGATCTCCGGCAACTATATCGAGAACCGGCTTGAAAAAATTTACTGGCTTAAATTCTCTAAGCAGACCACAATTATATCCTTGACCCAACTCTCCAAACAGTTCTCGCCCAAAACTGTATAAAACTCCGTGACTTGTCAACACGTATATTGCATTTTTGCTGCATTCAATTTTCTTGATGTTCACACAGTCAATAATTTTATAAATCGGCATAAACCTGGAAAATTGTTTGCTCAGATTTTCGTGAAAATTAAACTTATCTTTGATAATATTGTTGTTAACAATAACCTTATGTTTTGAAACATGCTCATTTGGTTGGTTTGAAGTATCGTACCTGAATACTTCGTTTTGTCCCCAGATCAAAGCAATGCTAGAGCTTGCTGTAGGTTTGATTTTGCTCGTTGTTGCACTAATTCAGAATATTTTTCTATAACATACTTATGAAATTCATATGACGCAATAACTTGTTGCGTTGGTTTTTCTAGCTCCATCTGATCATTATTTTTACCATAAAAAATAAAAATTAGTTTTTCCCAATGCCTACAGAAGTGTTAATAAATAATTTTCAAGCCGGCAATAGAAACTTTAATCAGTTAACAAATATTTTAGAATCATTTGGACGTGTTTACGACGTTGTTGTGTCGAAAAACAGAATTCGCGGTGCTCAAAAATATCAACAATTGGACAAAATTCGGGTTATTTATGAACAGAGAAGTGATGCACTTGAAGCTATTAAAAATTTAAATCATTCAATTTGGAATGGTAGAGTTTTGGATTTGTACATGGAAAACAATAAAAAAGTGAATTTTGAATAATCTCGTATAATATTAATTTTGACGGGAGAATTACATCAAGACGTAACGGTGAAAATTATATTTGTCGAAAGTAACTAATTAAAATTAAAAATGTCTGATGAATTTCAAAGTGGAGGTAATGTATCGTCTTACGTTCGACCTATTCAGGCTGGTAGCGTGAAAAAAGGTTCTTTTGCGATGCTTAAGGGCCGACCATGCAAAGTTGTCGATATCAGCACTTCGAAAACCGGAAAACATGGTCACGCTAAAGCGTCAATAGTTGGTATAGATATATTTACTGGTAAAAAATACGACGGTAATTTTCCAACTTCCCACAACATGGAAGAACCAATTGTAACAAGAACTCAATACGTAATCATTCACTGGGAAGATGACGTTTTGCATTTGTTAGACAGTTCTGGAGCCGTCAGAATGGACCTTACTTGGCCAGTCGGACGTGACGACAAAGTACTTGAAGAATGGAAAAAACAATTAGCTGAAGGAAACACACCTACTGTCACTGTTCTCTCTTCTTGCGGAGAAGACAAAGTGATTGGACCCAATGATAAATAAATTATAAAATTATGTGTATCTCTTCTTTATCAATGCTCTTTTTGTGTTATTATTATGTTTAATCCTTTTTATTTTATTTTTAGAATATTAACTGTTATACCCAAACAGGACTTAAATAATGGCAAGCGGCACCACTGCGCCAATTCGACCCGACCCTTTTAACGAAGCTTTCCTGCAACCGAACGAAACTAAAGTTGAAATTTCTATAGAGAAAAAAGTCCGAAACTGCGTGGTATTAGAAATTAAAAAAGAGGGTCACACCTTGGGCGCACTTCTCGCAAAGTAAGTTAACACTTATAAAATGGTTTAGTCAGTTAATAAATGATCCAGATCTTGTTTTTGCGGCATATAACGTACCACATCCGTTAGAATCTCGTGTTTTACTACGTATTCAGGCGGACCCAGAAACAACTCCGTTTCATGCTTTCCAGAATGCGTGTTTGGCTCTCGACGCGACGTTTGCTAACTTAAAACAGCAGATTAGTAGTTACGATATGTAACTAATAATAATACATTAAGATTTATAATGTGGTTTCAATTCGTAGACATTGTGTTCTGACAGAACATTTTTTTGCATCGCGATTTCGTTTAATATTGATTTAATTAAATGATAAGGAGCTCGTATCTCTTTTCTAATTTCTTGTAAGGAGACCAGATTGTTGTTTTTGCGAAACAACAAAAATAACTGCTCAGTGATGGATTCCTTACTGATGTAAATGTTTCCGCCAAGCGCTTGGTTGTCTTTGAAATACTGAAATAACTGTGGTTGGTTTGATATTTGCCGGTTCAATATTTGAGAAGTAGCCATGCCAGCAGACTCGCTCAATCTCAATTTTTTGTTAATAGCAGGATAGTCGACATAATCTTTTATGTACGTGATGCTTTGCCTAGCCCGCCCCACCCAGTAAACATCATCTAGCAGCGAATTATTTTGAAATTTGCTGCAGCAAATTTCCGAATTTTTCAAATCTATAGTTGAGCCCTTTAGAGTAACGGGACAGTTGTTTATCACAGTTGAAAAATTCATATCGTCGTCGCAAAAACCTACCACTGTTCCGATTTCTCTTTGCTCAAGTTCTGTTTTTACAAAATTCGGAAATCTTACTACGGTGACGTTGATTAGTTTTTCATTTTTATCAAATATAAACTTATGTACATTACCACTATTCATTTCAAAAACACATTAATATTTTCACATCTAATAAAATTATCTTGAAAAAATTATATTTCGAGCCAAAATAAATAATAAAAGAGAGTTAAGAAATTAATTTTTTTTTATTTTTGCAATACTCGAGGAATAATCATGTCGTGCAGAATAGATTGTTGTCAAGCAGTTCCTGAACCTTTAAGAAACATTTTTTGTTGGAAAAACTCTGCTGTTAGCAGCAAGTATTTTCTCTACATGAATGTTGCTTGTTACATTCTTAATATTGTCGCAAACGATCCAGTCAGGAGTATGTTAAAATGTTTAATTACTATGGTTGTAATCAACTACTTTTTAATTAGTTACTTGAATATCTCAATATTCGACTTAAAAAAGTATTTAATGGAAGACGAATTTAAAGATTTCACCAAAGCATGTTCCACAATTCTAGAGGCTTCTTACAAACGCCTTATCTCAATAGTTAAATGGGAGCGTAAATTCTGCAGTACAAGATTCTGCATCCTTAGTTCTTTCTTGGTAGTATTATTAGCTTACGTTAATTTAGTCAAGCTTATTTGGGTTTTACTAAACTTGTCTTTTTTAATTCACCCTGTTGCAAAGTATTATTTTGCAAATTTGCACAGATTTGCTGAACCATACTTGGAATTAATATACTATAAATTTAATGACTTGCTTTGCTGTTCTGCCAAAAAATAATTCATTTTGCAAAATACTTAACAGACAAGTTTTATCGTCGTTGAAATGTCGTGACTTTTGTTCTTTAAATATATATAACCAATATTATTTTTATTTTGAATATATATTTTATGTACTAACAAAATTTGTTATGTTAAACCTCGAAGACACCAAAAGCATCAGTCTTTATTGATTTCAAATATAGTTAATGTTTGTAATTACGCGACCAATAATTGTTCATACAAACGATAATTCGTTTTTCGTAGGCCTTTTGAAATGTTTTGATCATTTTGGCAGTTTAATTCTAGACTACACTTGCCAGCTGCTGCAAGATCCAAAAGATCCGAAAAAATATGTTGAAAGATATTTAGGTCTGCAGTTGTTTCGGCCAGATATTATGTATTTTTATGGATCGAATAGTGAAATTACATTAGACATACTGATAAAAGGCATTCAAAACATGAAAATGGGGATGTCTAGTGGGTTTGGCAAACTGCTTTTTGGAGCAGATTCTAAACTGTCAACCGAGCTGAAAATTGATGAATCCGCTCGAGCATTCGAACAAGAACTCAAAGACGCCTGCAAAATCATAAAGGATTACCATCACCTTCAATGTCAGATAAAAAATGAAAATTTTGAAGAATCAATCAATGATTTGATGACCACAGCGAGTAAGAAAAGTTTTGTAGATGCTCAAAATTTGATTTCGTCTAATAATTGGAACATATAACACTTTTCAGCAGGTGAATTATAAATTATTTATTGTGTCGCCCATTTGTTTATTTTTGGTTCCAAAAAATTCCAAATATTTATTTTATGAAAAAACTCTGTAGACAAATTTAAGCTTCAGTAATTTTTTTTGTTACTACAAAGAACTTGCCTCACTTAAATTATTAATAATTATTTAATGGATTCCACAGCCCCTTCAACAGATGTAGATTCTGGTACAAGTGCCATTGAAGTTACTAAACAGCTAATCGTCACAAAAGAGCGATGCAATCTTATTGAAGCATACTCCAAGCAGCTTGAAGATGAACTTTTTGCGTTGGCCGGCCAGTGTCCAGAAACGATTAGTTTAGATTATTGGATGACTCGTGTTGACAATCTAAAAAAACAGCTGGCTGTTGAAAAAAACGATCATCAGAACGAAATTGAAGAAATCCAGAAAAAATATGGTCAAGAAATTGACTCACTTGTAACAGCTCTGGAACAAAATAAACAGGAATTAAATGATTTAAAATTAGAGTTCACGAAACTGAAAAACCCCAATAACAACACCGAAATTCTGCCCAAGCAGAATACAAACAACTTAAATCAAAATTCACAGCAGCCAAATCAATTGGAAAAACTTGAAAATATGGTTCTCGAATTGAGTAACGAGATAAAGAAAATTAATAATCCGAAAACGTTCATGAGCTCAAAAGATATTTTAGAACGATTTGAGGTCTATTTTAAGGATCTTTCTGAATGTTACTTAATGCAAAATCAGCACTTGCAAATTTTCGTAAAGGAGATTAATCGAACTATTTCTCAAACTATAGAGAAAATAATGTCAACGACTACTAGTCAAGCAACTAAAAGCCAAGAACTATTTTTACACAATACAGAAACGCTAAAATCCATTTCAAGTAAAACTGCCGAAACTTTCGACTCTTTTATGGACATAAAAGACATTTTACGATTAATCGCAGAAGGACAACGAAGTTTGTTTGAGTCTATGCGAGCTCTCAATCAAAGTATTAATAACTCCGTTGGAAATAATTCAGAAGAAGTTAACTTTTACAAAGACAAGTATTTAAAAAATTCGATTGATCTTGAGGCATACCAAAAAAAAGCTCAGAAATATTCGAAACAACTAAGTTTATTGCGAACAAGGTATAATCATATACCAGTTAGCATGAAAAAAGAGTATAAAAAATTTTTAAAAGAAGCTGTTCGGTTTTACTTAACGTCCAAACATATACATGATGAAAATTGTATGCCTGACGATGAGTAAGTTAACAAATAGCGAAGTTTTTTACATCTTGCATTCATCATTAAAATAAATAAATTCTACAACTATATTAGCTATGTATGCTTCGTTATTTTAGTTTAGGATTCAACATTAATTTTCATAAATTGAAAAACTTAAATGCAGTTGCCACACACAATTTGGTAATTAAGTTCATACAATAAAGTTATCAACTGCAACTTATAAGTTTAACATATGAGTTCACAGCTCACAAAAGACGTTAATTTCTTATTTTTTCTACTTAGATATTCAACCGTTATAGCAAAAAATAATATTAGGAGTTCTTTTAAAAATGTGAAAAAATTTACTATCAGACTATCTAAAGTTTGCTTGTATAAAAAAAAATCAATTTTTGAAAAATCACCTACAGATATTGCTGAATTTCAAGCGAAAATTGATAACTTATTAAAGGTCTCTCAAGATAACCCTCGGTTAAAACTACATATTAACGAAATTAAAAACACTGCATCAAAGCTTTCCACCGATCAATTAAGATTTTCTAAATATACGATTAGAGAGGCTCCAATTAAAGTAAATGAAAGTTCCTCATTTCAGTTTTTAGAAAAACGGGCACAGGATCAAAAAGTTAAAAATTCAAACGTTTACGGATATGCAAAAAAAACAGATTCAATTATTCTAATTAATAAAAAAAGTTTAGTTAGCCCAGCTCTTTATTGCAAAAAAATTGCTCCTACATTGAAAATAAATAGGTCGCAAGCTGTTAGATCATATACACGGCGATATGTAAGATGTAGAAAATTACCAAAGAATATATGCAAATTAGCACTTATTTGTTCACCTTTTTTGTTGCCTAATATTCCTTTAATGATTAGTACAGGAAGTATATTAGCATTTTTCAGTTTAGTGAAATTATGCAAGCGACATTCATATCAGGCTTACCGATCTAAAAAATCAACTTTTATTGAAACTGCAGTTGTTAGTTTTATACTCTCGCTAAACAGTAAACTTAGAAAAAAAAAAACAAATAATCATAGTTATATTCTGAAGCCTAGTAATATAACAAGGACTGAGACTTCAATGTTAAATGAACTTTATAGAAATAATTACGATATCGCGATCAATCATAATTTTCCACAAGTAGATGAAGTAAGGATAATTCAATGTAATAATGACACTCGTGCGGTTAGT